GTGTTTTGACAGGCTGTGAGACAATTGTACAGGGTAAAGATATAATTCACTCATTATTCCCTGTGTATGAGTAGAGGGGAACTCTGCAGAGAAATGAGGAATTCATACAAGAGGTCCATAGGCCACACAGAGAGAGTGCTGGCCTGTGCTGCACCCCTAGGTGGCAGTGCGCCCTAGGTGGCTGCTTAGTGGAAGCACAGGGATGTGGGGCGGTGCTTCCCCTTTTAGGAACCGTGGAACCAAAGGGTAGAATTGGTTATCCAAACTGTGTGCTGGGGCGTGGGTGGAGTTTCTGCATGTGTAGTCACAGTCCTGGTGTTTCAGATGCTTACCTCCTACGCTAAGTTGCGGTGACCAGGCTTGAATGCCGGACCTTTGAATCAGGGGTATCTGGCTCTAGTGGACCAGGTTTGGTCCAAGGCCTGAATTACGTATGTGGTGCATCTGTTGCTACTGCTTCCTTCCTTTCTAAGCTCTCCATTTCGCAGTGGTTCTTTGGTGGGTATTTGGACTCGGGTGCTGGCTGTTGACCAGACACCTGTGAGCCTCTGATAACCCTGCTCTTCCTGAGGTATGGTCTCTTAAATGCTGCCTTTGACAACATCTAGCTCCTCGCGGAAGGCATGTACCTTCTTCCCTCTGACCAAGATGGGGGAGGCATTGGTCGGGAGTCTGGGTTTGCTTTCACTGTACACAGAGACTTTGGTGCGGTCCAGCCACAATGTGGAATTTAAATTTTTCCACCTGATGACTTCTTGCCCCCCATATTTTCCTTTTTCCGGGAACACGCTGGAACAGTTCTGTGGTTGTTGTTCCTATCGGTTCTCGGTCCTGCAAAAGGACGGGGTTCCCTAATCCAAGTTCTGGAGAACTGCAATTACCTTGTGCTGGTTCAGAAGTCCATGCTGACAGCCAGCCATTCAGTGGGGGTCTCTCTTTCTTGGAGCTGTTTCTAGCAACCATGGACACCTAGGTTGCTTACCTGCTTATTCCCCTGTGCGAGGAGCATTAGAGGTCCCTACACTTTGTAATTGGGGCTGCACATTTTCCTTTGTGGGGCTGCTCTTTGGGCTGGTCTAGAACCTCCAGAGTTTTCCAATGTGCTGGTTCCTATCCTAGCATTGCTAACACAATGGGGGATGGCCAGGCCTGATTATTTGGACGACCTGCTGCTGTGAGCGGATTCCAAGTGACGCTGATGGACACCATGGAGATCATGAGGTGCTCCCTACAGGACTTTGAACGGGTCTTGGTCCTCAAGACATCTGCCCTGACTAGGAGACTAGAGTATCTGGACCTGATTCTCAACTCAGAGCAGGACTGAGTGTTTCCCCTTGTAAACACACCCCGTACACTTTGGGTGGCGATCCCTTCAGCCTTGCCCTGCAAGTGATCCTCCCTGCAGTTTTGCATGCTGGCTCTGGTCTTAGAATGTCCACTTTTGTGGCAGTCCCATTTGCACAATTCCATGCAAGTGTTCTTCAGAAGTAGATCCTGTCCATGTGGGATGACTCTGCAACCTCCATGAGCCGTTTGTAATGGTTGACGAGAGCATCTCCTTTCTGGGGGCTCTGTCCCAGTCCTTACAGCCTGAAAAGGCCTTCCTTTTTTTTGTTGGGCTGGGGGGCAGTCCTGTGAAGGGACTTGGCCCAGGTTCACTATACTCCAGAGGAAGCTTGGCTCCCCATCTTTGTCCTGGAGTTTCAAGTGGTCTGGTTGTTACTGATGCATTGGACGGTTTGTTTACAGAGTATGGCGTTCAGGATCCAAGCACACATCGCCCTTGTGGTGGCTTAGGTCATTCACCAGGGAAGTACGAGATGCAGCAGTGGCGCTGGAGGTGTTTAGCATTATCAGATGGATGAACAGATTTGTTCCAGCTCTGTCTACATACACATTCCAGGTGTCAAAATCTGGCAAGCAGATTATATCAGCCATCAGGGACTGGATCAGGAGAAGTGGTCTCTACCCTCAGAGGTGTTTCATCAGCTTCGTCCTCGCTGGGGGATGCCAGATGAGAATTTTCTGGCATCCTGCCTTCGCTAGAAGGCTCCAAGGTTGATGGCAAGATTGTTTAATCTGATGACAACGCAGCAGATGCACTGGGGGCGCCTTTGGATTAGTACAATTTCATCTACATCTCTCTGCCCCTCCGTTGAATTCCTCACTTGCTGCCCAGGAGGCTGGTTCTGGCTGCAAGGTCACTGTTTAGGACTCTCAGGCGCCCCTGCGGAGCAATTCGGAATGTTGGCAGGTTACCTTGGGGGTTTCTCTTTTTCTTTGGTTTGCCCACCCCTCGTTGTGGCACTTTCTTTGGGATGTCCCTGTTTGGACATGGGTAAAGAAGAGCTGTGTCTGTCAATGAACGTAAGAGAAAATTGATTTTTTTGTTACTCACCATAAAATACCTTTCTCTGAGTTCATTGACAGGCATTGCACCCACTCTCTATGGAGTTTCTCCTTTGACACTGTTTGTGACTGACTGGAGGCCTACAGCAGAGAGGGGGTTTTATGCCCAGAAAGGACTGAGCATAGGAGGTGCAGAGTTTTTTTTTCTGCCTAGTGTCCCACTCCTGTAGGTGGGGCTATAAAACCCTTTTTGGTCCTGGATAAAGAAGAGAGGCTATGTCCGTCAATGAACACAGAGAAAGGGATTTTATGGGAGTAACACATCAAATTCAGGGACAGAATGTTTGCTTGCTGCCTAATATATCCCATCCCTCAGATGCCAATGTAACAAGATATTTCGTGTTATTCACTTAACCTGTCAGTAGTCATGAAGTTATGGCTGATCAGTGTTTAATAAAATAAATTTAGAGTATAAAATGGTGTTTATTATATTTTTACAAAGCAAGTATTTATATATATATATATATATATATATATATATATATATATTCATTTTACTCATAAACATTTATTAAAGTTGCATTAATGACACTTTGCTAAACTAGAAAGTCCAGCACTGCCTCTATACTCATTGGCAGACTACATTAATCCAATTGGTGCTGTCCTTCCTTTATATCACGGGTCTCCAAACTTTATAAACAAAGGTCCAGTTTACTGTTCTTCAGATTTTAGGGGGGCCAGACTGTGGCCACTGTAAGTAGAAAAAGTAAACAACACACCCTCCTTTAGTTTCAGTGAAAGGAATTGTGCCCAATCGTTGGTGTGACTTGGAGGATTTGTGCCCCATCATTAGTGTGATTGGAAGGAACTGTGTCCCATCATTGGTGTCATTTGGAGGAATTGTGTCCCTTTGTTGCTGTCAGTGGGGGAAATTATGCGCCATTATTCGTGTCAGAGGATGAAATATTGCCCCAAGGGCCAGATAAAAGCAGGCAAAGGGCCGCATCATGGGGCACAGTTTGGTGACCACTGCTTTATATCATTCAGCTTTCAGTTTTTAGTTTAATGATTGAGGAAGAGCCTTCAGAGAGCCTTGAACTTCCATGAGTTCTAACTGCTGCACATGAAATGTAAAATAGCCATAAGCAATTTTTCACTTTTACTTGATTAAAACAGATTCTTTATTGAACATGATAAAGAAAACATATTTAAAAAACACTGTAGATTGCATTTAAAGCTTAGGGTTACAAGCAAGAAGGTAAGCAGCAAGTCTAGGATAATTAAGTGGAGCCAGGGTTTACTGTGAAAGTTGATTTTTTTTTTTTCTACTGGTAGAATCAAATATCATTATTGGGGGGCTTTTCCCAGTCTGAATATGAAATTAAAAGGTAGCTTAGTTATATGGGGGCGCCTTAGTGGAACAAAAGAGTACTAAAGAGATTCCTGATATTAAACAAGAGGGCCAGCGATCTGGACCACCAAAACAAGGAACCCGAAACTCCTCTCCTGCACATCCTCCTTTTAATGTTGATTATCATATTTATTCTGTCACTACTTATTCAACCTGGAATCAGAGCTCATCCATGCTGGCATAAGTTTTTCTTCTGTGGCAGTGATTTTTTTAGGTTTAATGGGGTGTGCTATTCTGAAAATGTATGGCCATCTATTTATACCAGGGGCCTGCAAGCTTTCTAAACAAAGGTCCGTCTATCATCCTTCAGCGTTTATGGGTGCCAGCCTGTGGCAAGTAGAAGTAGAAAATGCCCCAGCATCGGTGGGAATAAGCAATGCCCCATCATTGGTTTTCATGGGAGTAATAATGCTCCATTTTTGGTATCAGTGGGAGGAATAGTGCCTTATCATTGGTGTCAGTGGAAGAAACAGTGCCCCATTGTTGGTATCGGCGCAAGGAATAGTGCCCCATAGTTTGCATCAGTGGGAAGAATGGTACCCCATCATTGGTATCTGTAAGAAAAATGGTGCCCCATCATTCCTGTCAGTGGGAGGAATATTGAACCATCACTGGATTCAGTGGGAGGAATAGTGCTCCATCATTAGTGTCGGTGGAAAGAATAGTGCCCCATTGTTGGTATCAGTGGAAGGAATTGTGCCCCATCATTTGTATCAGTGGAAGAAGTAGTGCTCCATCATTGGTATCAGTGGTAGGAATAGTGCCCCATCATTGGTGTCAGTGGTAGGAATAGTGCCCCATCATCAGTGGTAGGAATAGTGCCCCATTGTTGGTATTAATGGAAGGAATAGTGCCCCATTGTTTGCATCAGTGGGAGGAATGGTGCCCCATCATTGGTGTCAGCGGGAGGAATATTGCCCCATTGGTGGCATCGTTGGTGGAAATGGTGCCCCATTATTGGTGTCAGCAGGAGGAATGATGCCTCATCATTGGTATCAGTGGAAGGAATATTGCCCCAAGGGTCAGAAAAAGACAAGCAAGGAGCTGCATCTAGCCCCTGGGCTGCAGTTTGGAGACCGCTGATCTATATGATGTTTTAAAGGTGGACCACTACTTTTTCTCAGCCCGTGAGTATGATGTAGGTCCAGACCACTTTAGATGTACAGTTGCCAATTCTACAGTGTACACTTAATTAAGAATGAATCATTCACTCTTTTAATTGTATTTTGTTCTTTTACAGACAGTCTATGATCAGTGGTTTATTACACTTTTCAATATTGTATATACATCACTTCCTGTCCTAGCCATGGGGCTGTTTGATCAGGTATGATATTATATAACCTAAAATGGACCTGTGCTTCTATCCAAGAGCAGACAACAAAAGATGTCTGCTGTACCTTTATTAGCTGGAAATTTCTCCTTTGTGCCTTTCTTTGATCTACTGTCATTTTTATTCTGGGACCCAACTATCCCTGAATTGTTTGGCTAAACTCCACTAACTACCATCCCTCCAGTCCAGTGATCGTTCTCTTGCTGGCTACTGAAGAGATTGCATTGGAAAGTGAAAAAGCTGTGAAGAATTAGATGTAACCAAGCAGAACCAATTTAAAGTGTTACTAAACCCACAACAGTAAAATCAGTCTGTATATGCAGTAAATCATGCTTGTTATACTCACTGGGGATCCTAAGGGGTTAATCTTCCACATTGTGCAAAAAAGCTGTTTTCCTGTCTTCTCTGATCCTCCCCTTTTACTGTGCCCAATTCATCTGCCATAGTTAGAACAGCACTGGCAAGTCTGCACATGCTCTGATGTGTTTTTTTTTTTTGGGGAGGTTGCATGTGATCGGCACAGGGCCAATCAGCACTGTCCAAACAGAGGGGTCAGGGCTCATGCAGCCTCATAGGACAGTCAGAGGAGAATGAAAACTCCTACAAGACTAACCAGTGCTCAGCCAGACACTGATAGAAGTCACAAGACTGCTATATGCTGCTGATGAGAAAAGGTATTTAGCAGTTTATATTTACTAAAATAATTGCATTTCCATGTAGTATGTACTGTGAAAGACTGGATATAGTGAATGCAGGGTCCTGGGTTTAGTAACACTTTAAGATAAAACAAAAAAAAACAAAAAAACTTAAGCTTTTACACATCACATTATTATTTTGAGCAAAAAGTGCCTCTTAATTTCAATGCATAAAAACGTGCTTTATATAAGTTTCTTGTTTCCAGTAAGTGACACCGTCTGGTAGACTTGCAGCATTAGAAGATCAACAGGGCACAAACAGAACATAGGGCTTGCATATGGAAATAAGACTACTCATATTAAGCTGATATTTAAAGCTTGAAGGAGACAGTAGCTTCAATTAACTATTTTGACCTTTATCCTTCCTTTTGAACTTACTCATTAGAATGAGATGTATTAAAAAAACTTATGTACTGCAATAGAAAAATCCTTCAGGGTGAGCTTAGATATTGCAGGAATGTTAGCAAAATTACTGCAGCCATCAATATTTTGCACAATAAATACCATGAGGGAGGGTCAGAATTACATATTTGGTCCTAAAGCTGCATGGACTATTGCAGAACTGGTATGCCTAAAGTGCATCTATGGTCAACACATAAAATCACACATTCATTTCCAGATTTAGTTTGTATTATATCTAACCTATGTCTATTAATATAAAAGATTTTGAAAAATGCCACACATTTACTACCTTGAATTCTGTGGCACGTATTCACTATGCCCTGTGAATATGCACTGCTGTGTCACACATTTCTCAGAGCCTGCCTTCTGAACTACAGAGACGGTGAGAGAAGGACAGAAATCAGTACAAGAATCACAGCACATCATCACTAATTGCAGGCAGTAAGGTTCCATGGGATGTGTAGTAAGTAAATCAAAGGAATTTTCAGAGGGGAAGCTGCAGAGCATGCAGGAAATCCAGGAAGCTATGGAAAGAGACGGCCAGCAGACAGGCAGAACTCACCACATGAAAGAAGAGTTTTCAAGTAAACATATTGAATTGTCAAAAATAACTATTGTTTGTATTGCTATTACAATGCTGATGTTATAAAATGAAAGTGTGACTGTAGAAATCCATTACACGTGTGGACTAAAAAACCTGAACTTTTTTTACATTTTTTTAAAAACTTTCAGTGAAAACAGCCCCCTAAATCATGAGGAACAGGAAAAAAAAATATAGAATTGCTTTATTAGTTTTACTGCTCTGGGACCTTTAGTTTACATCTGTGCAAAGATATGTAGGAGAGGAAATGAGGCAGTTACAGGTGCAGGAAGAGTGTAAGGATTTTACCGTGCTGATACAAGAAATTTGACTTTTATTTGGCAGTTACAAAACCACCATAAATAGTATCAGATTCAAATGTTTTAGTTTTAGTAGCAGTAAATAAAACAAAAAAATACTTGCATGACAGTTATGTATGTTTTATCAATAAAAAAACAAGTTTAAAAGAATTCTGATGAATTGTCTTGAGCAGAATGTGTTTACCTTGGTAATACTGTTTATTGTGAATCTCTTTGTAGGATGTGAATGAACAAAACTGTATGGACTACACTAAACTCTATGAGCCTGGTCAGCTGAATCTACTATTCAACAAGCGGAGATTTTTTATATGTGTGTTACATGGGATTTACACCTCTTTTGCCCTGTTCTTTATACCTTTTGGTGCATTTTTTAATACAGCTGGAGAGGATGGAAAACACATAGCAGACTATCAGTCTTTTGCTGTCACTGTTGCTACAAGCCTAGTAATAGTGGTCAGCGTCCAGGTAATGTCTTTTGTATTTATACTTTTTGTAAAATCAGATCAAATAGGTCCTGCCACTTAAAATCCTTCATAGCCTTTCCTCCTGGTCTCTAGTGCAGATCTGTGTTCCATGTATGAAGATCTGCAATGAAGACCCTGCATCTGTGTTTGGTTAAATGGTAGCTGTCACTAGAGCGAGCGCCTGTATATTCCTGTAACAACTAGCAGGAGCAGAGGTATTCAAACTGTAGATGAGAAGTTTCCATTTCTATGAGATTTTTTAGATTCCATGTCCCCTCTACCCAAAGTGAGTGCTTGTACAACATTTTATAATACTCTAAAGTATGGGTTCACGTTTGGGAACATATTACATGTTCTACTGTTTCACATGTTCCACAGCCTCTGCCCGACCCACCGCCTCTGGTGACAGCAAGCTGGGGATCTTCTCCCCAACCTCACTGTCACAATATAAAAAAATATGTGGGTGTGCTGGGCTCTGCCCACCCAGCCATGTCATATACTCACAGAGAACAGTGAATGGGAAGAACTACAAGAACTGACAACTTTTGTGTCTGTCAACATTTAGTTCTCAATAAACTACCAGGGTGCTGTGAGAGCTCTCCAGGTAGTTAATTTTTGTTCCTGTCATCATGTAACTCCTTGCTCGTAGGAGTCCTGCATTGCACTCTCAATCTGCTGATCATGGATGCTATGCTTTGCAGGCTCTTAGTAAAAAAAAAAAAAAAATTTTTTTTTTAACCTGAAAAAGATGTACATTTATTATTTTTTACAAAGGTGAACTTATCCTTTAAGCTTTTGTTATATTATATATATATATATATATTTAAAAGCTCATCTCAAGGCAGAACTGAAAAGTCCTCCTGCCTCTCATTCCTTTTTTTTTTTTTTAATGAAATACCTGGTGAACAATTCTATACCTTGACGGCACCATTTTCAAGTGTGGGGGATCAGTAATCTGTCACTGTAAATGTGCTTGCAACAGTCAGTCCCTGCTCGTCTCCTTGTACTGACATCATCACAGAAGTCTGTGTTCTAGATTCTAAGAAGACCCTGGCAATAAAGAGTCAATAGAAAGTGTCCAGGTCATGAAGGAAGTGACATGGGGATCCAAAGAAGGGCCCGGCCTTCTGTGCATGGAAGATTCGAAACAGAAATTTCATATTGTGAACCTATACCAACTTCAGCGTCTCCGCTCTGGCATTTGTCCCCCATTTGTGCAGGTCAGGCTTGGAGTCCTCCCTGACTCCATATAATCCACAGAACAAGGAGAGAAATCTCAGCCACAGCACACCATGCAAGCCCAGTGTGTAATAGGTGATAGCAGCCTCAACCCAGCTCCATCCATTCTACGTTCCTCCTGACATGTTTCGCCCTGCCCACGGCATATCAAAAATTTATTACTGAGAGTTTTTTTGTTGCAGATTGGCCTGGACACCAGCTACTGGACCGCTATTAATCATTTCTTTATCTGGGGCAGCCTCGCTGTGTACTTTTCTATCTTATTTGCCATGCACGGAGATGGGATCTTTGATATTTTCCCAAGTCACTTTCCATTTGTGGGTAAGTGTACTTTTTGTTTTTGTATTTTTTCATTACCTTAACCGCTTGCCTGCCGCCCTATATCATAAATACTACTACAAGGCGGCAGGGCTGTGGAAAATCACGTGTTTATACATGATTTGCATCTTCAAGCAGGGGGCGTGTGCGCTGCCCCTACCTGCGCCACCATTGGCGGCTACAAATGTCAATCATCGGGTTGCAGCCGGAGATTCCCCACCGGCATCCGCTGATCGATGAGTAACAGTGGCAGGGGAGAAACCTGTGTGTAAACAACACAGGTCTCTCTCCTACCAGCAGTAACATGCTGCTGTGTATGTCTCTGCACAACAGAGAAATACACAGCAGCATGTTTCCCAAGTAAAACACACACAGCACATTATGTTAAACAGCACACAGTTAACCCTTTGATTGTCCCATATGTTAACCCCTTCCTGCCCAGTGTCGTCATTACAGTATCAGTGGTTTTTATTAGCGTCATTGGGGTGTCAGTGGCAGACAGTCGTCCCCCCCCAGTATCAAAATGCCCACCGCAGTCCCGCTATAAGTCACTGATCGCCATTACTAGTATATTAAGAAAAAAAATTCCAGCATTCATACCACCATTTGCAGACGCTATACCTTTCATGTAAGCCAATTAATTTACATGTATTGGGATTTGTTTAGCAAAGACCTAGCAGAATGCATTTTGGCCTAAATTTATGATGAAATTTGAGTTTATACATTTTTTTACTGGATATGTTTTATAGCAAAACCTCAAAAATATTTTTTTTTTTTCTTCAAAATTGGCGCTTTTTTTTTTTTTATAGCTCAAAAAATTAAAAATGCACAGGTGATCAAATACCACCAAAAGAAAGCTCTATTTGTGGGGGAAAAGGGACATAAATTTCATTTATGTACAGCGTTGCATGACTGCGAAATTATCAGTTTAATAACGCAATGCCGTATTGCAAAAAATGGCCTGGTCAGGAAGGGGGGTAAATCCTCTAGAGGGCAAGTGGTTAATCTTAAAATTTACAAGCACACTTTCCAGTATAACTTGATAGCAAATAAAAACATTATATCACTGAGAAATAGCATAAATCAGGCAGGTGTTTACAATAATTTGACAAGAAAAGTTTTGACGTATGACTAGTTTTAAAGTAAGCAGCTTGTAATAACACTGTACATGTGCATCAGTCCAAACTTATTCCAAGTCATTACATGTTGCTCCTCTGTTTGTGGCTGTTTTCTTGCATCCACGTCAATTTCATTGACAACAAAAAGCATTTTTTTGTTGTTTTTCTTTGACATTGACTTTGCTGTTTCTTGTAAAGTTACAAAGTTTTATTTAATTGCAAGCCTATGCATCTGCAAGCTTAACAAAACTGAAGTAGTACATGTTCAACAGGAAGAATCTTACATGCAGATACATTCTGATAAGCAAATATTATACATTTATGGAAATTCATTTTTTACAACTAAATAAAAAAATACCTTGCAGCTGCCAGTGAATACAAATAAATTAGCAGCAGCTTAACTGTGATAGAATCTCTATTTAAATAGTCAAATCTACAAAATATAATACACGTTTTAATGAAAAATATGTAAAATAATAAATAAAATGTAACAAGTATTTTTTTATAAAGAGGTTACTGTTTATAATTAAAAAATTAAAAAAATGGAACTAGTTGTAGCAAGTATAAATATTTTTCAAAAATGTTTTTTTATTTATGCATTCAAAGTTGATACTTGCTGTTGTTTTACTGATGAGAGAAAAAACAATTGTTACTTCTTTTAATTTAACAGGAAATGCCAGAAATTCTTTAAGTCAGAAAAGTGTTTGGCTTGTGATATTCCTGACCACTGTGATTTGTGTCATGCCTGTGCTGACTTACCGATTCTTGAAAGTGGATTTGAGTCCTACACTAAGTGATAAGGTAATGCAGCAAGGATGTGTTCTACAAAAATCTGATGATCTATTTGAGCTGCAGGTTTACTGCTTAAGTGCTAGGACCCTAACGGTAACATAGAAGAAATGTTTGGGATTACCTTGTATTGTATGTTCTCTATCTGGACAAAATTAAAGAATGACACATTTTTCACTTGGGGTCCCAGACCAAATGAATACCTGCAGAATATGCCTATTTACAAAATAAATGCATTTTTTATAAAGAGGAATGGCTATATTCGGGTCCCATAACTGCAGTGCTGTGATGGTTGAGGTGGATTGTAGTTGTTTTTTAAGCATAAAAGCTGCCAAACACTTGTGGTCCCAAAGCAGAGTTTCTCATCTTGTGGCTGCTTACACTGTATTCTTTGTGGAATTGCTCACAATCTGAAAAACATGTATTATCAATGGTCGACAAGTGAGAAATAGTGCTCTAAAGGAATAGCACATTACCAATTGGAGATCCCAAAACAGTGGCACATTGACACTGAGGGTTCTAGAACAAAGGCGCCATGACTGCTAGGTTTTAATATAATGATACTCGAATGCTTGAGTTCCCAGCTGAAAGGCAATTAAGTATAACTGGTATCCACAGCAGATCTTTTACCAATGACATTGTCTTTTGTGTAAATTGGTATATATTTTGCTGTTTGGATTTATGCCAGGGAAAACAAAAATCCTGTCATGCAGTGCACTGCACCTGCTTGATCCTGACCCTACTGACTGTCTCCTGCTCGATCCCTGGCTTGTCCTGACTACCCTCCTGCCTGGTCTTATGATTTGATCTCCTGTTGCTGAACTTTGGCTTGACCTGACTATTCTCTGTCTGCTCCTCTGGTACCTCGCTGCCCGCACGTTACCGACCTGGCCCGCCTGACTATGCTATACCCCACGGTCTCCCATCCATCCCGCACGGATCCATTCCCTGCTGCCAGGCCTGCCAGCCTCTTCACGTCAGGCTCTATTCCTTGCATACCTCTGACGGTATCCTCTACCATAGCCGGACGTACTCAGGGGTCGCGACCTGGTCTCAGTCTGCTCCAAGTCCATCCCCACCATCAGGGGCCCTGGTGAACAAGCAGATTGGGACTTAGACTCCGCGCCCTGAGAAACCCCATGCTGTGGGCAGCTAGAGATACCGCCAGGCGGTGGCTGACAAGCAGTTTCTACTTCTCAGATAAGTTCCCACTGACACCCTTGATCTTTAGCTATCTGTAATGAGCTAATTCTTCCCAATGACACAAGTATAAGGAGCATTCACAGTGAATACACTGTAATGTGAGTTGTAGATATAGTCATTTTTAGCAGGGGTTCCTTGAGACCGGAAAGTTATTTCAAGGGTTCCCCTGTGTTGAAAAGATTGAGAAAGGCTGCCCTAGACAATAACAAGCATTTTAACCTTGCATCCACAGCAAGGGATGATTTTTGTTTTCCCTAGAGTTCAGATTTAAATAAAGACCAAATATTGCAAGGGTTCTAGCAATCTTTGTTTCAGGCTCCTACATGCTCCCATTTTAGGAACATTACAAACACTTCAGTGAATTAACTAAGCTTCCTGTACCATTATAATAGCACAGAAAACTGTCTGGAGTGGTGTGCGCCACATTAACTAAGCAGATAGACCTGTTTCAGGTCTATCTGCACTATTTTCTGTTTCAGAGTGAAATAGAAACTAGCACAGGATTCTGCGCCTAATTTAGAGAGGGAATTAGGCAGTTTTCCTTATAAAACGCTGCTGTAGCTCCCTTCTAGCTTGGAGTTGGCATATGGGGATGTGAGCTGTCAGCAGGCAGATCACATCCCTCTCTCTGCCTGTGCACTGAATACATTACATGAGCAGACCTTTTGGGTTAACAACCCTCCTCCCTGTTCTGAACTGAGTGAGGGCAGAGAGATCGGAGCATGCTGCTCCATCTCTCCTGTTCTCTGTGCCGTGTCTGTTACAGCCATGGCAGAACAGAGAACTGATCGCTCCTAATTAGCAATGGGGCTTGTGTCCCTTTTGTTAATTAGGAGCAGCCTCTGCCCCATATTTTATGTTTGCATTATGCTTGCATCACTCTTTGTTAAATCCTCCTTCCATTTATTATGAACTGCAAAAAAGTTCATAGTGAAAAATTATTTCAGGACAACAAGGCCAACAACGTGCATGCCATTTAATGTAGCAAATGTGTTTATTTTTCTCACTGATGACCCTTCTGCCTAATAGAGGTAGGGAGACATTTATCGGAGAGTTTTGGTAATTGGAGGAATACTAATGCTGTAATTAGGGTTTTAACTTACTATTGGCAACCTAGAAACACACTTACAAAAATGAACTAATATATATACAACCACCCTAAAGAATTCGTAGTTTATTTTTAATATCTCTTGTCCCCCTGTACCTAGCTTTAGACAGCACATCTTTCTATGTGCTAAGACTAGCTGCCTGACCAGGCAGGACACCTCCCTCACCCCACATCTCTCTGACCATGCAGCATCATGAATAACAAATTAGCTTGGATTGGTAACGCTTGCCTCCAGCTTCAAGTGCTTGCCTGAGACAAATGCCATTGCTAGGAATGCAGGGGGAAGTGGGGCATGGCACCTAAACTATGCTCCGCTTGTATACACCAGAACACAGCACAGCTAACAGCCTCTGTGTGTTGTGCTCTACCCCTATACCATGTACCAGGGGAGTAGTCCAGTCCTACCTGCCAGCCACCAACTATTTTAGGAAGAGAAACTAGATTAGTAGTTGGCTTTTGTTGTGGTCTTGTGTTTTTGTGAACTTCTCTCCAGTGTGCCACCATTCAAAATAACACAGGGTACCAATTAGTACTCTAGTTTCTCTTCCAAAGAATACTTTGCAACAGGGTCTGGGCACAGTCCTTCCTTCAGTATAAAGAAGTATTTTCAGTACATAGATATCAGAGAGGTAAAGCAGAAGAGTCACAGGACTGTAAGGTTAGATGTCAGAGCTGCGGAATGCAGAGGGGACGATGACTTTAGTGCTGGCTCTAGCTCTCCCAAAGGAACACCCATAAATGTGGTTTCAGCTTGGGATGGCGCTACATTTTTTTTCAATTTCTGATGATCGTTGTTCTTTAAGGCCGCATTCACACCTGTGCATTCTATTAGCATTTTAGATGCAGTGCATTAAAAACAGTCCTGCGTGCTGTGTCTTTGATGTGGTTTCAACAAAATGCACGTCCTATAGAGTTCAATGGAAACACAACTAAAATGTATGTAAAATGTTCTTAAAACGCAGCGCACCAAATAAATCTACTGTACAGATGTGAATTGGTCCTAAAATCGAAGGTTGGGCAAGCCTACACAATGTGGGTAGTTTTGAACTGCGAAGATTTAATAAATTTTTTTTGTTTACTTTAAGGTTCGATATTTGCAGCAGGCTAAGAAGAAGCGGAAACCCCTGGCAAACCGTATGCGTAGGGTACACAGAACTAGTTCCAGGAGATCAGGTTATGCTTTCGCTCACCAAGAAGGCTATGGTGAACTTATTACATCTGGTAAAAATATGCGTTTAAATGTACCCCAATCCTCTTCAAGCTTAGCACGAACAATGCTGAGCAGCACAAGCTGGATAGAAAACTTACGAAAGAAAACTGCAGAGAATTTTAATAGCTTCAGCAGTGACAAATCCACAAAACTATGAAGCTTGGATCATTACTTTTTTTTAACCTTTAGCTGTGGCCATATTTTTGCACTGTATTTCTCAACACCAAAGGAGATCATTTATGTCTTCTGAAAGTGATTCATCTTGAATTGGCAAAGTCCTGGAAGGTAAAATCATTTGACAACATCATTATGCTGTTTATGAATAGAATTTCTTCACAAGCACCCCTACCTTTCTGAAAATTGCTGAAGAGTCCGTGTAACTGAACATTGGTGGAACACCATACTGTGATAAAGAACAATAACACAGCACTGTAGACTTGTTGCTTCTGACCAACAGCTGTTTAGACAAAGTTTTTACTGAATGTCCCAGGCATTTGGGTTATGCTCATATATGCATCACAATATTTTGGATTTTTTTTACGTTTGTAAATGTACACTAATGGTACACTTTTAGCTGGATTTTTTTTTCTTTTGTAAAATCAATGTTATACGTTTTATTCCAAGTATCGAGCATACTCCAGAGAAGTATCTTAAATGTTTCAGATCTAAGATGTTTTTCTTATACTTTTCTGGATGCAAGGAGGTGATATTCTTCTTCTCTCAATCCATAATGCTGCTACAAATGGTTTTCACAGAAAAATTTATTTCTATGAAAGCTGACTCCTCAGTTTATAGCCGACAAAGGAGGATTTCCCTAGAAACAGAAGATTTATGTATTTTCTGTAGCTTTACTGCCTATTCATATGTAAAATAGATATCCCTTTAGAGAGCAATATATATCTTCAGTATGGCCAGTGCTTAGTGTGCACTTAAATATAAAAGTATACATTTCAGATTTGTTCCAGGTAGGACGAAAAACATTCCTTATAATACAGGATGAATGTCTATTTTACATTTCAGCCTTCTCAGCATTATGAATGTGAAAACAGGTGCCGTAAATACATTAGGTGTTGTAGTGGCTTAGATTGAGCTGGAATTTTGTACAATTAAGGATTTAATGGCCCTTCCTCTATGTTGATGTCTATTCCTTCTTAGGGGAGAGGACTTACATAGACACCAATGATCTCAGTGAAATAACAGAACTTATCTGCTCAGCCTTTGGTCAAAGATGGATATTTGATAGTGGCCAAATAAGCAGTGCATGTATTTCTTCCTCCTGTTCCTTCTTGACAACTCTTTTTGACTGGTATGCATTAAGACGGTGATTCAGATACTGCATAGCAATCAATAGTTTATGTGAAGCCCTCTACCCCTCCTCCATTTTGAGAGTTAAAATGGAATGGAAGAGGGATGAAAGAGGTATGTGTACATAACCTCTCATGGTTCAACTATTTTTACATGATGTAAGATAAAACAAAGATCTTGAACCTCTTGGCTTGAATTTTGTTCTAATAGCTCAATGTAGTTTCAGCTTGACCTTATCTGTACTGGATTACCTGTGAATTTGTACCAATGAAACCATGTACTCAGGGGACATATCCATTTATACAATTTTACAGTTCTGTATGAACTTTCCATTATATCTGACAACTACATCACCAGCCTTACAACTAGGCAATATAAGAATTTGTAGTAGACTATTGTAATCTTCAACATGTAAGCATGGTTGAGATGTGAATCTCAATGTTACTAATTATACTTAGAGCTGTAGGTTTATCCCTTATCTAACCACCCATATGAAAAAGTGCATACCATTTATGGATTACCTGCACACATTATGAATAGCGTAGACATCACCTGATTCTGTAGGCATATGCCCCAATACTCATTGTAGCACTGCTTTCAGGATGTCATTACCACAGACAGCACTGAGGAAGTTTCAGTTCCCATGCTGCTTTCTTTGTAATATAGAATAAATTGCAAGCCCTGTGGTGACCTCCTAATTGCTACCACACGTTAATGGAAGCCAGAGTTGCTGGAGTCACCAAAAGATACCAGTGGGCGATTTGGCATGACAGTATATAGCCAAAATGTAAATATCTGTCTTGAGTGAACTGATTCTTAAAAATAATAAAAGAGGAAAATTCCTATCTAGCGTTGAACCATTTCCATTAATGCCATGTTCTTCACGTTTGCATTTTGTTCCTTTACTCAACTGTGCTCTCTTGAGCCCTCTCTTGGATCCTGTTCTCAGGCAGACTACATATGTATTCAGGATGCTCTAGAAGCAGAATAATTATCCTTCTCATAGTACATCCCACTTAGGAAACGTGGGATCACGGAGTAACATTATCGTCAGGCATTTAGCTACAACAGCGGCAAAAGCTCATCCTGCAAGACACCAAAGTAATTATCTTTCCAGACAGATCTCCAAATCGTAACTTGCTATGCTTTGTTTATTTGCATACTAGCAAGAGGGTGTTGTCTTTCACTTTTTCACCCTAAGATTGTTAACCATCTGCTCCAGCTATGCACAAACACCTGGATCTGCAATGTATTTGGGCAAGAACTGACTCTGAATGGTCCAGTTCATATAAAACAAAGTAACTGATTATTCTTATGTTGTGCTACGTCAAACCACATCTTTTTATTGCTTGCAATGTTTGGTTGCTAGACGACAGCTGAAAAATCCTTATTATGCTGGGAAACAAATAAGCTTTATTACGTTGAACAGTTTGTACTGTCTTTGACTTGTTTGCTTATTGTCTTTATTCTGTTTTAATGTTTGGAAAACTCAATCCTGATAAGGTATGCTATGTTTTGTACTTACAGAAGCAAAAATGCTATTTATGAGGTATAAATATATGTATACAGTAAATATATATTTAGAATTGTCAAGCTTTATTATTTTGGGTACTTGTATAGATTAGTTTAGATTTCTATAAATTGTACGGCTTTTGTTTTGTGCAATAGAGACATTTACAAATCTGTCTGCGCGCATGATGTCATACCAAAGAGTTTGCGCTCTTTTGTAATATAATAAGGTTTACATATGTACATAGTGTTCCATAATTTATTCAAGCTCTTTATATACAAAATATTTTCTATAAATATACAGTTTCTAAGTAGTCCTATGCATTCTGTGTTTTTTTGTTTTTTTTAAATAAAAAATTATGTTTAAAGTAAAGCTGTCATGAAAGAAATATGGTATCTGACATGGCTGACTTCAGAAGTTACTAGCCCACTGGCTAAGTTCCGGGTCAATGGCTTACTAACTTGGAGCAAGGGTACAGCCAGTGAAGTTACTAGTTCTGATCTGTTCCAGGTAGTTTTACATTAAGGAATCTGCATTCTAAGACCCAAGGGATTTGTCTCACAAGCTTTTACATAGTAATTTCTGTTACCCTGATGTGTAACCTTGTTATTTTGTGATCTCTGTTTAGGTATCCAGAGTTCAGCTTTATGTTTTGTAATACAGTATACCAATTAAAATATATACCTCTACTTCATGGTATAAATAGAGCCAAAACCACAGTACAAAGCCTAAAAGAAAATTGCACTCATTCCGATTTACCAATCACTATGAAAGGAGGCCTCAGTAACCATTGTGAATGTGTGGGAAGGGGTCAGCAAGCTCAATCAATACCCCAATTTTGCCTGATGGAAAAAGCCCAGCATTCAGACAAAGGGAGCAGTGAAACCTGCTGCAGTCAAATTTCATGCCGGTTCCGGAGTGATAAGTCATATAACGCTTGATTATCACGAAGTGATTAGCTCAAATCATAGAAATACAATGTCAGCAGTTGACTCCAACATATTGTATGTACACTATTTTGCCAAAAGTTTTAGGACACCCCTCCAAATTATTGGATTCTGGTGTTCCAATCACCTCCATTGCCACAGGTGTATAAATTCAAGCACCTAGGCATGCAGACTGCTTCAACAAACATTTGTGAAAGAATGGGTCGTTCTAAGGAGCTTCATGAATTCAAGCTTGGTACTAAGATAGGTTGCCACCTGTGCAATACGTCCATCCATGACATTTCATTGCTACTAAATATTCCACGGTCAACTGTTCGTGGTATTATAAGAAAATGGAAGCAACTGGGAACAACAGCAACTTAGCCATGAAGTGGTAGGCCACGTAAACTGACAAATGCGCTTCTGGAAGAATGGTCAAACATTCCCATAGAAACACTACTAAACCTTGTGGACAGCCTTCCCAGAAGAGTTGAAGCTGTTGTAGCTGCAAAGGGTGCGCCAACCCAATATTGAACCCTACGAACTAAGACTGGGATGCCGTTAAGGTTCATGTGCGTGTAAAGGCAGGCGTTCCAATACTTTTGAGAAAATATAATGTATATTAGCAGTGACTCAGGGGAATGTGAATAAAAAAATGAGAATGCTTCATATAGTGTAAAATCAATGGTATACAATATTCATTAAAAACAATGCTACTCATGTATAAAAGCATAGACAGCGCTGTGCAAATCAAACTCTCGAAGGGGATACGCAGACTGCTTTCAGATCCTATAATACATGAAGTTGTCACAAGCATGGGCTCAGCCCTACATATTTCATCAAAAATGTCCTTTTCCAGGGCTTAAAGTGACATTAATGGCTTGTTTTGTTTTTTCTTTAAATAAACCTCTCAAACTTACCTGCTCTGTGCAATGGTTTTGCACAGAGCAACATGATGCTCCTCTTCTTGGGTCCCCTGCAGGTGCTCCACGCCCCTCCTTCCTGCCTAGTGCCCCCATAGCAAGCAGCTTGCTATGAGGGCACCCAAGCAGGCTCACTCCCAAGCTACTGCTGTGTGTGTTCATTCACACACAGCACGGCTCATCCCTGCCCCCACTCTCTCCTCGTTCACCCACTGACTGTGATTGACCATAGCGGGAGCCACTGCTGTCTCAGCCAATGAGGAGGGAGAGCCAAGGCTCTCATGCACATCGCTGGATCTAGATGTGGTTCAGGTAAGTTTTAGAGGGGGCCGCTGCACACAGAAGGTTTTTTACCTTCATGCATAAAATGCATGAAGGTAAAAAACCTTGAGCCTTTACAACCACTTTAAGCTTGTCTGCTTTTTATATGACCATTGATTTTACACTATGTGGAGCATCCTCATTTTTCCATGTGCCCCTGAGTGGCTGCTGA